GCCCCCCACCCGCTTTTCAGAATCTCTCCATATTTCATACGCATTCTGCTGAGCGGGCCCCCTTTACCTGCACGATAACCCTGAGCGAGCTTGAATCAGAAAATTTGGATAGAACAATAGCTCGGTAGTTAATCGCCCGGTGTTCAATTTTTACGCAAATTGACCACCACAGAAATATGTTACTATGACGTATGAATTCGTATCTTTCGAGGCCGAAATGTGCCCCTTCCGCAATATGCATAGCATATAATGCAATCAGAACTGTTGCCTGCTTCTGTCGGACAAGATTTATGTAGTCCCATGTGCCTGTCCTAAGCCATATATTGGCTGCTGTAGTAGATTGTGCCTTTATTCTTCTTCATTACGTGAATTCGCTGACAAGAAGTTTTAACCCTCGCTGGCACAGGGGGGAGGGGTTGATGCAACCCCCTAAGTTTTTTTTCGCGAATAACTCGCGTAAAAAGCGGCTGATCGCGACATACCTTTCAGTACCCTCGCGTTGATCAATTTCACACCTACCCTAGAAATTTCATGACCCATACCCAAATGACCTTTGAGCTGTGACCTACTTTCCGAGACCATGTTTGGCCAGAATCGCGGTTCGGCGTATGCCGGCTCGCATTAGCCGCGCGTTTGCAGTCCTTTCGTGGTTTCCAGCGTTCAAACATGTGATTTGATGTTGCTCCCATGCATAAGGGTGGATGTCAATGTCACCTGAAGGTCAGGTCAGGTCACTGACCTATGATGACCTCGGTACACTTTTTTCAAGTTATGCATGCTTCTAGGCTAGTTTTGTGGAGCTGAATTTCAATTTAGCAGCCATTTGAACATTTAAGAAGTAGTTCTGGTGCCGTCGTAACATGTTAAAAAGCTGTCAGAGGCGGTTGACACGTACTACGAATACCCGGCGGGACCCCTACTGGTTGACCTGACCCGACCTGGCCTAAGTGCATAAGGACATCATTTGTGATCAAAACTGACATAATATTCGTGATCAGCACCTCGAAAAACCCTAAAGCAGCCACATTTTACGACGTTCTTAGGTCCCAATTTTCCTGACTTTTGAGTCATTGACCTGACCTGGAGGGTCAACCAATGACCTAGGACCTTTAGGTAAATTGGGTATTATCGGCTTCCTCTCGTCACGGGCAATACGTTCGTTTTCCGCGAAGCTCTAGCTCGATCATAGGCCAAACGCGAGGGGGGGGGGGGTCATACCCTCCCTCCCTTGTGCCGTCGAAGGACGCAAAATGGCCTGTGCCGGCGAGGGTTAACGCGCTCACATGGGATATGTATTGCCTTGGGCCTGGTTTGTTGTGGTGTGGTGATGTGGTGACGTAGATTCTGTCTGTTACCGTGGCCCTGGCATGGTGTTACTTAGCGCGGGGTAGGTACAGGCCAGATCGTTGCACCTAGTGCACTGAAACTTGCGCAGCTTATAGAACAAGGATGGGCAACGTGCCTTTGAGGGGTCTCAGCTCGATCGGGCCGGTAGTGAGCACATGGCCCGTGCTCAAAAAGTGCTAATTCGCGTCATAGACTTTACATGTATTTATCTGCTTGCAAAATCGGGCGAAAGTGGCTAAATTTGCCAGACACGGGTCCGGTCCCCGTGCAGTGTCTCGGTAACTATGGGTCCGATCGGCACGGGGAAAACACAGTATCGTGTATGAGAATCGAACGGGCTATCGAATGGTGTGCAGTGCAGGGACGGAACGCGCCACGTGCACCCGTGAGGGCACTTATGCTTGAAAAATTGACGTTTTGGACGGATTTTGGACTCAATGAAATTTCCGGATGACTGTCAGATGGAGTGGGTTCAAACAACGCCTGTAGGCAACAGAAATGTACCGCCTCTCATGGAAAAATTGTGAAAAGCTAATTGATCAAAAACAAGGTGGAACAAATCGCTGGAGAAAATGGCATTTGTTCATGACTTACTTAATTTCACGGGTTTTGCTGCATAATCTGGTACGTTTGACAATTGAAATTTGAAAATGGCATGGTTGGAAAGAGCATTCAATTTTGTCCAAGATCCAATCATCGCTTTTGCATGACGAGCAACAATATTCTTAAAGATATAAATGTTTCAAACTAGAGGCCTGCACCGGCCGGCTGCAGCCGCGGCTGGATGCAGCCCCACGGCTGTGGGTCGGGGCGGCTGCAAATATCTCCAAGAACACGGCTACGGCTGTGGCCACGGCTGAAAGATTTCAAGCTCAATCTTAAGTTCTCAAATATAAAATTTTAAATTCTTAATCTTACATTCTGATAAGCAGTCTAGCCTGTAAAAATCATGCAAAGGATGAGCAACAATATTGAAAGTGGTTAACCCTATTAGTGGCAGGCTCCTGGCTACCCCCTATTAGTGGCAGGGGGGGGGGGCTGTTTACGACCCCCCCTTGATATCTCGAGATCTAACGGGCCGATTTTCAAAATTCAAACGGCATTCGATTTCGCTCAACGTGATCTACATTTCTAAAAAAATAAAAATTAAAACATGTCAATAGGGGGGGGGTAGAGGGGGGTAAAAACGGGCAAATTGCAGATACATTTTAGACTGTTTATCACGGCCAGGTTTCTGAACCAATCTTAACGCAACTTTTGCCGATCGATAGAGAATGAACCAGGAATTCACATGGATCCTAAAAATATGCATTTTCAAAAATCATAGGCGGATACAGATCATTGAGATTGGGGGTACACAAAAAGTATAGTAAATAAGGTTTTTGTTGGTACTGTTTCTAAAAAGGGTGGTAATGGTCTTGTTATGTTATAATTTTCTTATGAGAGAACGACTAAAATTGTATTGGTAATGCATAGGCGGTGTCAGGGCACCTATGTTGGGAAGTAAAACATAACCCCCCTTTTTGGACGCCTGAATCCGCCTATTATAGCAAAAACGTGTCAAAAGAGGATGCACAATAACTGTATATGTTATCACATGTTACCTTTTATTCACTGTTCGTAAAACTGGTGCAGCATCGTGATCTTCGCCCAAATGACTCGCTTCACGAATAGGACCCCCCAATTCCCAGTGCTCTGGAGCCGCCCCTGGTAAAGTTATGAACTTGAAAGTTTCAGGGAATGTGCCCAATTTAGTTTTAGGAAAAGTCAGAAAATTTCAGCATCGTAGCTTCAGCGGTTTCGGAGATATTCCCGAAAAACCTGAGGGGTGGATAAAAACAACCCCCCTGCCACTAATAGGGTTAAGCCTTTGAAAACCTGTAATGATTTTATCATTTGCCATCATAAGTAGAGGAGTTTGCACTCTGGTACAGAATACTAATTATAGGTACCAATTGTTCCTTTATCATCATGAGCTTGACAGCTTCAGAAAATGTACCATGTTGCATTGTCGCATCCCTTTCAAATCAATCTTACCTGTTCATTTTTGACTTCGTCTAAGAGCTTTATTAACCCGCGCCCTGATGGGGTCGGCCGAGCAACGCGGTCTGATGGGGGGGGGGCATTTTGGCCCCCCTTAAGGTCTCGAGAACCACGCAACGTAGCGACAAGCGGCAAACGGCGTTGGATAGCCCCAACGGGGAACTACCTTGTGACCCAATTTCATTGACCTCAGTCAAACCAATGACGTCACAGGTCAGGTCAAAGATCGAATTTTCACCGTTTACAGGCATTTCAAGAAATGCGTTCACTGAGAAAAATCCTGACTCCGCATGACACCCCCAGAGGGAGTTCACCAAAACGACACCCCAAAACTCCCAGGTGGTACTCCTCATTACACCCCCTCCAAAACTCTCCATTACACCCCAAAACTTCCCTCGAGAAACTCTTTGTAACTCTCCCTACCGTTTTAGAAAACTCTTCATTACACTCCTTTACCCTATCAAAACAAACAACATACTCCCTGAAACTCCATTCCATTACCCTCAATGACTCTCCTACTGCCTCATAATTACTCCCGATTACTCCATTCCATTATTCCCCAAAACTCCGTTTACAGCTTCATGGTATACTTCTTGTTATTCCCCATCAAACTCACCCAAACTTCCCATCACTCCACTCCAGCCCCTCTCCCCCCCCCCCGAAAATAAATATTGGACGAATAGCGTAACCACCCAAAGCTCGTGTACCGAAGCACAGATAAGAAATTTAAAATATATTTCAAGAAATGTGTATTCATAGTCCAGGGCGGTGGGAAGCTTAAAAAAATTAACAAACGCTTTCGACATCCTGCCGCGGCACGCTCTCCGGGGATCTCACTCCATATGCTTCACGGTCGCGAGTTTTGATGTTAAGAATCCAAAAGGCGGACTACCACAGCAGGAATGCTTGGTCTGGTGGTGCCGCTACCACCTCCTGGGCCTCGGCGAATACTGCGTCTTCTTCGTCCGGCTCTCCTTTCACGATGGTGGGATGGATATTTTGCTGGTCTCCGTTGGCTTCCGACGTGTCTTGCGGTGTTGCGACCACCGAGTCTTACTGAGGTTTCTCTTTTCTCAGGTCTTGCACTGACAGACATGTATAAATATTAACTGTGTGTGCCTGAACTGACAAGCTGGCATGATGAGATGGCATGCTGAGACTGCTATGCTGAGACTGGCATGAACTGGGAGCGGAAACTTCGGTAACGCTTTACTTTGCATATGATCTACTTTTTCATATGTTTGCTTATCATTGGTTGTTGCCATCTTCATTTTCTCTTTGTCTGTCAATGGTCATCGCTCATTAACTTCTGTGTCATTGACTGTGTTATGTGTTGTCTCTGCTTGCAGAAACCCCACTTTGCTGCATGCGCGCAGGCTGTGTTTTGTGCCATTCCTTCTGTTTCTATCTTTTTCCTTTGTTTGCCTTTCAATGTATCCTTCCCTTTACGACTTTCATTTTTGTGTACAATAAAGCGTTCATCGTACAGAAGCATGTGGGAGTACAAAGACCGCTACAGTTTCGAAGTCCGTGTTGGACATTGAAGTCTCATACCTACAAGGATCAGCTCATCTCTCTGCTGTTCAGTCTGTTGAATCTCATTGTACAAAATGGATGTCAAGTCGCTGAAAGGTGCCAGGGCTAAGAAGCTGGGAAACCTGACCAGGATCAGGAGACGTGCCTTCATCATCATCGATGCAAAGGGAAGCCGAACCCAGCTAAGCGAACTATTGAAGGATCTGGATCAGGCCTTGGAGGCAATTCAGGAGGTGAATGAGCAGTATGTGTCATTGCTGACAGAAGACGTGGAGCTTGAATCAGCTGCAGTATACATGAAGGATGTAGAGAAACAACATGAGGATGCTGTTAGCAGAATTGAAGAGCATTTGATCAGCCGGAAGGACGAGGCACCATCTGTGGCATCTGGCAGCCATGTCTCCAATTCCAAGTCCACGGCATCTGACAGAGCCAGGATTGCGGCAAAGGTAAAGCGTCTTGAAGTCGAGCAACTTGGACAACGGCTGGAGTTGCAAAAGCAAGAACAGGAAATACAGAGGAAACTTCAGCTACAGGCGGCAGAGGACGCCAGAGCAGCTGCTGAACTCGAGGCCCAGCTTCTGTGCGCCACAGAGACTGGGGATGATCTTAACAGGGATCGGATGGATGACTTTGTTGGAGAACCCGCGGCTCAGCTTCCCACTGACTGTCCTGGGCTGGATCGTGGCTCTGCTGTGGAACCTGCGACACTGGGTTCAGACCTCCCCCATTGTCTCAATGTACCACGTGATCGTTCTGAACGTCCCCATCCTGATCAGTGTCCTGTTACAGCTGGTGTAGCTGACGCTGCTGTGACCAGTGCTGGTGTCAATGTACCCACTCGGAATGGGAATGAGCTTACCACTGATGGAGCCAACCAGCATCCAGGTGCTTCTCAACTACAAACCCGTGGTGTTTCAGAACCACTGCTTCACTGTGCCCTTCCCCGACTCACACTTCCGAAGTTTGATGGTAATCCGGGAGAGTGGGTGAAGTGGTTTGCGCTCTTTCGCACCCTGGTACATGATCAGGAGATGCTGACGCCCACTGAAAAGATGATTCATCTTCAGTCTGCAGTAACCGGATTGGCGCAACAGACCATAAAGGGGCTGCTGTATGATGGGAATTTGTACGGTGAGGCGATCAAGATGCTCCAGGAAAGATTCGGCAGACAGGAGGACATTGTGAGCTCAACTCTGGAGAAGGTGTTTGCATGTCCCTCTCCTTCGCTGCAGGACCCGATCAGCCTAGAAAGATTCCAGTCCACAATCCATTGCGCCATAGCTGTGTTTGAAAGTATGAAATACGATGGGGACCTGAACAGTTTTGAGAATCTGAGGCGTGTCGTGCAAAAGCTGCCTTCAGATCTCATGAAAAGGTGGAGTGAACATGTTCTGAGTCTCGAGCCTGCAAGACCCAGTCTTCTGCACCTGGATTCCTGGTTGCGCAGGCAAGTCAGGATAGCCCTGAACTATGCTGCTGTCTCCAAGCAGCCTGGCAGGCAGCCAACAGGAAGAAGTGCCAACGAGGGGAGGAAACAAGGAGGCGCCATGGAACGGACAGTCCAGCGAACGGCACAGGTGACGGAGGCTCAGCACATGTCGGGCAAGGTCTGCATCTGCTGTGAAGCTCTCCATGATGTAACAACCTGTCCCACGTTCCTCAGCAAGCCTGTGGACGAGAAAGCCATCCTTGTCTCCAAGTCCGGAGCATGCTTCTTCTGCCTGAGGAAAGGTCATGCAGTCAGACATTGTCGTTTTGCAAAACGATGTAACATCGAGGGTTGCAAGATGAAGCACCACAGGCTGCTGCATGGCAGCAAGAGGGTCGGCGTTCAGTCCAGTAGCCAGGTGCCAGGCTCTGAGCTGGACGGACAGCGAGTGGTTGCTGCCGCATCTCTGGGTGGCAAGCCTGTAACAACTCTCCTGCAGGTGGTGCAGGTCACCATTGTCGGCAAAGGTGGTAAGACCAGGAAGGTGTGTGCGCTCCTTGATCCTGGCTCTCAGACGTCCCTGGTTGCAGAGGATGTTGTTGAAGAACTTGGTCTGGAGGGAGAGCAGCAGACACTTCGGCTGCGAAACGTGGAAGGCAGTGGCTCCCAGCAGAGGACGAGGAGGTTGCAGTTGCAGCTGATCACTGACGGAGATGAAGGCTACGCAGTTGTAGTGCCGGAAGCCTTCTCAGTGAAGGAAATCAATCTGACGGTGCCTCACTTCCCAGTGAAGCACTGGCATCATGTCCAGGGCCTGAAGCTACCGGACTGCCGTGGACGGAAGGTAGAGCTCCTCTTAGGGGCTAACGTCATCGAGGCAGTTCTCCAGCTCGAGGTGAGGACAGGAAACCCAGGGGATCCTGTAGCAATCAGGACTGTCTTCGGTTGGACGCTCACCGGATCTGTGGCTGAGCTTGTTCCCAGACAAGTGCGAGATGTGATGTTGATTCATCGGGCCACTGAGGAATCGGATCTTTGTGATGCTGTGAAGGATTTCTGGGCTACTGAGTCGTTCGGCAGTATGTTTGAAGGGCAAGTGTCTCGTTCACGTGGTGACATCCGAGCGCAGGCTACTCTCAACGAGATGACAAAGCTGCGAGATGGTCACTATGAGGTCGGATTGCTGTGGAAGGAAGACGGCGTGAAGATGCCTGACAACAGGAAGATGGCCGAGAGAAGACTGCAATCGTTGGAGAGGAGCCTGTCTCGTGACCCAGCAAAAGCTGCCGCTTATGAAGACGTTCTGATGGGCTATGTGACGAAGAACTACGCCCGCAAAGTGTCACCGGAGGAGCTGGCCAGGCCCAGCGAAAAGAGATGGCTGCTCCCCCATCACGCGGTAAGCAACCCGAACAAGTCGAAAGTCCGCGTAGTGTTCGACGTCGCTGCCCGCTGTGAAGGAATCTCCCTCAACGATGCCCTCATCACCGGCCCTGATCTCCTGCAAAGTCTGGTTGGTGTTCTGATCAGGTTCAGACAGGAGAGAGTGGCGCTCGTGGCCGATGTGGAAGCAATGTTCCACCAAGTGCGGGTGAGAGTGGAGGACCAGCCGGCGCTGAGCTTCTTGTGGCGGCACATGGATAGGAGCAGACCTCCAGATACATATCAAATGATGGTCGTCATATTTGGCGCCCGATGTAGCCCGACCCTGGCCAACTACGCTCTACGAAGAACGGCGGAGGACCACGAGGAGGACACAGATGAGTCGAGAGCCACTGTTGAATCTGTCAAGCGCAACTTCTACATGGATGACCTGCTCGTTTCGGTTCCAGATGTAGAACAGGCGAGGAAGATGCGTACGAACGTGACTGAGCTGGTGGCCAAGGGCGGTTTCCGTTTGACGAAGTGGACCACGAACAAACCAGAAGCTCTCCAAGGTGTCCCAGCTGATGAAATGAGTGCATCCGGGCTCGACTTGGCGCATCTCGGCCAGGGCACTCAGCGTGCTCTGGGATGCGTCTGGAGGCCTGGTAGCGATGCTCTCGGCGTGAAGGTAACAGACATGGACGTCCCAGCTACCAAGCGTGGCGTTCTAAGAAGACTGTCTATGGTCTTCGACCCTATTGGAATCGTCTCGCCGTTTGTTCTCAGGGTCAAGCTGCTCGTCCAGCACCTCTGGAAGCTGAAGCTCGACTGGGACTGCCAGCTGAGCGGAGAAGAACTCCTGGCTTGGGAGAGCTGGCTGTCGGAGATGCCGCATCTCGAGACCATCGAGATCCAGCGATGCTACGCGGCTGATGTTCCGCCGGATGGTGAAGTCACAGGTCGAGAGCTTCACATCTTTTGTGACGCATCCCAAAAGGCCTTTGGTGCAGTCGCATACCTCAGGATGTCATGTGCCGACGGCACGAAGACCACCTCCTTCATCATGTCACGGACTCGTCTCGCTCCCTTGAAGCAATTGACAATTGTTCGCCTTGAGCTGCAGGCTGCTGTGTTGGGGGTGAGGCTGGCCAACTTCGTCAAAGGAGAGCTCACGTGCAGTCTCGATGAAATCTTCCTGTGGACCGACAGCTCTGTGGTGCTGCGGTTCTTAAGAAACGAAAGTCGTCGGTTCCACACTTTCGTCGCCAACAGGATCGCAGAAATACAAGATTCATCAGAGACTGAGCAGTGGCACCATGTTCCCGGTGAGCTCAATCCAGCAGACGTTTGCTCTCGCGGGATGTCAGGCCCGGACCTCCAGACATGCTCACTGTGGTGGTCGGGCCCCGAGTTCTTGACCAAGGATCGTGAAGAATGGCCTACGGAACGCGTCACGTCAACGCAAAGTGCAGAAGACGCAGAAATGAAGACTCCAAATGAAGCAGTATTTGCAGCACAGAGCAGCGAGGGTCCGCTGGTAGATCCTTCCCGGTACTCATCGTGGGTAAAGTACAAGCGCACGGTGGCTTGGGTGCTGCGATTCTGCGAGAACACCAGGCGGAGTAAAGACAGCCGTGTAAGTGGAGCTCTTACGTCGGCTGAGGTCCAGTCAGCTGAGGTGTTCGTCCTCAGAGAGCTCCAACGGGCGGCGTACCATGCCGAACTGCAAGCTGTCGCCAGTGGATCTCGGCTGCCGAAGGACAGCACGCTTCTCCATCTCTCCCCGTATGTCGACGAGCGGGGACTGCTCCGAGCGAGGGGACGTCTCCGTAATGCCCCACTGGCTGAGACCTGTCGTCATCCTCTCCTCATCAGTAGGAACGATGACGTGATCAGACTGATCGTCACCGATGTCCACAGACGGGCACTGCACGCAGGTCTGGAGCAGACGCTCAGTGAACTGCGGCTTCACTACTGGATACCCAAGGCAAGATCAGTCACAAGAAAGCTCATCTACAACTGTGCGTACTGCAGGAGGAGAAGTGCGCAGCCCCCGACTCCAATGATGGCGGACCTACCGGCGAGTCGGTTTGACATGTCTCGACCGTTTGCATGTGTTGGCCTTGACTACTGTGGCCCACTCCCCGTTCGGAAGTTCCGCAAGACCGAAAAGCGCTATGTGCTGCTCATCACCTGCCTGGCGACGCGTGCATTGCGCTTGGAGCTTGTGAGCTCGATGGATACAGATGGGTTCCTCATGGCCCTCCGGCGCTTCTTTGCCCGCCGGGGGCGTCCGCGTGTCATTTGGTCAGATAATGGCACGAATCTGGTCGCAGGTGAAAAGGAGCTTAGGAGTTGTCTGGATGCGTGGAATCAGGCGCAGATCACCGACGAACTTAGTCAGCGACACATCGAGTGGCGTTTTAACCCTCCCACCGCCAGCCACATGGGCGGTGTTTGGGAGAGGTTGGTGGCGATGGTTAAGCGCGCTTTGCGAGTGGTGTTGGGCAACCAGTGTGTCAGTGAGGACGTACTGCACACCGCGCTGGTGGAAGTAGAATTCACCATCAACAGTCGCCCACTCACTTACGTGAGTTCGGACATCAATGACCCTGAGCCTCTCACGCCCAACCATTTCGTTCTGGGTAGCCCTCAGGCTGCCTTTCCTCCAGGGATGTTCACTGATGGTGATGCGTTGGGTCGAGGGAAATGGCGGCAATCCCAGGTTCTGGCCAACCAGCTCTGGCGCCGCTGGCAGCGTGAATACCTGCCCATGCTCATCCAGAGGAAGAAATGGGTTCATGAAGATCGCGATCTGCAAGTTGGAGATATCGTGCTCATGGTCGAGCAGGGGTCACCACGAGGATACTGGCCGCTGGCCAAGGTCACGGAAGTTTCTCCGGGAGATGATGGTCGTGTCCGGACTGTGACAGTGCAGACCTCCAGCGGATCTACCTATCGACGACCAGCGAACAAGATATGCTTTTTAGAAAGCTGCGTTCAGAGAAGAAACTGAGCAAACGGCCGTGAAAGTCAAGAAGAGTGAAAGTTCTGTTGCTAGGCGCTGTTTATCCTACCCCTATTCAAGTACCGTCCTGGCCCCCTGTCTTACCTGTTAAACAGTACCTCATCCATTGGCACTGACACGATGCGCCCAGCGTACTGCTCGATGCTCGACCTGGAGAAGCCTCGGGCTGCTGACGTACTGCATGGCCGCGTCCTGGAGCTGAGGGGTGGCGGCGTGCTGCGCTGGACCTGTGATCGGCTGTGTGCTCGGGACTGGTTCCGAGACCTGGCCCGCCACCGACGGGGTCTCCCGAGCTCTGGCCGCTGAGCGGAGGATGCGAGGCTGGGGAGAGGCGACGTCTGCCTGGCGCGGACGACTGCGTGAGCTGCTCGGGCGAACGCTGAGTGGAGAGGTGTAGCGGATGATGGACTCTATAGTTTGCGCACGGTTTCGGCGTTACGGTTCGCCGGCGCGGTGCGTCTGTACGATATCTGAGTGACTGGCCGGAGAACGGGCAGGTGACAGTGCATGGAGGCTGAGTGCTGGATGCTGAAGCTGCTGTGCGATATCTGCTTTTCTCTGAAATGTGCAGTGCTTGACGCGTGCGTTCGTGCGTATTTTGAGTTAATGTGTCTAGCGTAAGTTTTCGGCGGTCATTGAGCTGAACGCTGAATAATCAACGATGGTCGCTCCAGTTAGTGTTCTCCTCAGGCCTAGGATAAGCACTGGGGGGAGTGTTGCGACCACCGAGTCTTACTGAGGTTTCTCTTTTCTCAGGTCTTGCACTGACAGACATGTATAAATATTAACTGTGTGTGCCTGAACTGACAAGCTGGCATGATGAGATGGCATGCTGAGACTGCTATGCTGAGACTGGCATGAACTGGGAGCGGAAACTTCGGTAACGCTTTACTTTGCATATGATCTACTTTTTCATATGTTTGCTTATCATTGGTTGTTGCCATCTTCATTTTCTCTTTGTCTGTCAATGGTCATCGCTCATTAACTTCTGTGTCATTGACTGTGTTATGTGTTGTCTCTGCTTGCAGAAACCCCACTTTGCTGCATGCGCGCAGGCTGTGTTTTGTGCCATTCCTTCTGTTTCTATCTTTTTCCTTTGTTTGCCTTTCAATGTATCCTTCCCTTTACGACTTTCATTTTTGTGTACAATAAAGCGTTCATCGTACAGAAGCATGTGGGAGTACAAAGACCGCTACATGCGGGATGCACTGCAGGCTCTCCAGCTCATCCTCTGCAAAATGTTAATAACCATGAAATTATAGGTACACCTAACATTGCGTGGCAGGAAATGGAGGAGAAATAAAAAAAGAGAAGGAGGGAAATAATGAAGGAGAAAGGGAGGGAAGGAGGGGAGGAATGAAGGAAGGAAGGGAGGAATGAATGAAGGAAGGAAGGAAGGAAGGAAGGAAGGAAGGAAGGAAGGAAGGAAGGAAGGAAGGAAGGAAGGAAGGAAGGAAGGAAGGAAGGAAGGAAGGAAGGGAGGAAGGAAGGAAGGAAGGGAGGGAGAGAGGGAGAAAGAAAGGGCGAGAGAGGGGAGTAGAAAGAGGGAGTGAGAAAGGAAGCGAGGAAAGATGGAAGGAAGAAATGAGAGAGGAGACAGAGGTAGGCAGATGAGACAAGATGGACGAGACGAGACACACGCGACCTGACGTGTTGGCACTGATACTGCATTTCGGCACATGATGTCAAAATAATGAAAGTAAGATATTGCAAAGTTAGCATACTTTTTATGCACTACAATTTTGATAAAGTTAAGTTTCAGTGAAAGTCTAAAGGGCAAGTTAACAGCATCCATCTTAGTTGCAGACACAGTAGGGAAATGCTATAAAACGTACCTACTTGAACGCTCAAAAAGTTGAGCAGGTCGCTAAAAATAAGCTAAGGGCGTCCGACGTTATACGCTGCATAGGTAGGTACACATGTTAACATTAAAGAACGAAATTCAATTATGGACACTTTCTAAAAACATACAACAATTTAGACAAAATTTATTTAAACATGCTGGTTTGTCGGTGGTTTTCATCATTCATGGCAGTGGCAGTGGAAGGTAACTGATTTTTTTTTTATGTATGGCGGCTAGGAAAATCAAGCCTTTTATGCCAAGATAGTTTAATTTTCTGGCTCTGCTTTGAAAGCCCCTCAAATTTGATATTTGTCATTGGTATAGATATTAAGATAATTGGGCAATAACAATAGGATCCATGACGTGTAAAGCTTGTGTAATCCTAACTTTCCAATTTATTCGAGGGAAATAATTACGGAGCGAGCGAAGCGAGCGTAGTCTTTCCTTAGATTAACGGAAATTTCTGAGTATGAGCGGCCGGCCGGCCGGCCGGCCGGCCGGCCGGCCGGCCGGCCGTGGTCACGCTTTTGCGAGGCTTATATCTCAGCAACCACTTGACCGATTTACATGCGGTAATTTTTGTAGGGTAGCTTCATTCCTTCTACCAAGTATTGCACTATTCCCGATGCATGTGGGTGACCCCTTATGCACGTGCCACGTGCAAAACGAAGAGGTGTCACTTTTGCAATTGTTGCAATATCTCGGTAACTACTGGGCCGATTGCGCTGAGAGTTGGCATGTAGGTAGGCACCCACTAGGCAATGCATATCCATGTGCCAGAGTTGGGGTGCTGCTGCACGTGCGCACGTGCAGGGGTCGTTTCCAGATCTCGAGAACGGCTGGACCGATTGCGCTCAAATTTGGTACACGGTTACGGAGCAGTTAGTAGGGTGCCGTGCACAAGTCAGTTGGGACCCATTTTGCACGTGCGCAAGTGCAGGGTGCCGCTTCCAGATCTCGAGAACGGCTGGGCCGATTGTGCTCAAATTTGGCACATCGCTAGAGACCGGTTAGTAGGGTGCCGTGCACAAGTCAGTTGGAGGTACCCCTCGAAATTTCGCACGTGCAAGGCTCACCCTCTCGCTCGCTCCGTTAGTCGCCCCAAAAGGCGTTATACTGGTGTATGATATTTGCTAATACCTAGAAACTCAGAGCATGCTGTTTCCGATCTTTATCTCACTCAGGAACAAAACAAATCAATTACCCTTACAGAGACCATTCCAGCCCATCAAGAACATGGGGCTACCATATGTCCTCATCGCAGCATTATAACACTTTGCACTATAAAAGCATGATGAGAAATACAGCTAAGCTTACCTTTAAATCCAAAGTAAGGTCCAATTATCCGTCACTGTATAGGTCAGGTCCGTCTAAGTCAACACGCTCTTCACTAACACTTCGCCCGCCGCCCCGCACAAAGTGCTGTGTACTACGCGCAAAAGATGGCGGCCACCGGCAGCCTCGCGACGTATGCTAAAACCCCTTCGTAACTCCCCTTTTACTCCTGTCGGAACGTTCGCGAAAAGTTTTTCGGGAGTAATGGAGAGTTGCGTCACAGAGTTATAGGGTGTCACACATGGAGTCATTTCGCCATCCATTAAGAACTCTTGAAAACTCTTTCGCAAAATGAGAAAGGCTCGAAGTTACCCTAGAACACACTTAATAACTCTGCTGGAAAGGGAGTTATCAATGGTTTTAAGGAGTTTTCAGGGGAGCATTTTCAAGAGTTTTGACCCATATGGAGTCAATTTTTTTCTCAGTAAAATCGAGCAAAATACATTTCATTGAAAATCATCGATGGGGAAATGTTTGTCAAACACATATTTTGCTATTTGAGGTCACTGATACCATGTCAGGTCACAGAGGTCAGGTCACTGAGAGTCGCAAATTAAAAATATCATGTGATGCATGTTTTATGGTCCATTTTATATGCCAAATGCGATTATGTGGGACAGGCAGCCCTTGGGGTCAGTTGAGATTATGTTTTGGTGAAGGTCAGGTCAAGGTCAGGTCAAGGTCAGGTCAAGGTCAGGTCAAGGTCAGGTCAAGGTCAGGTCAAATTAGGTCAAATTTCAAAGTTAATATTTTTGCATAAAAATGGGTATTGATTCGATGCAGCTCGTTACGGGGAGTTCAATGGTGGTCTCCGTTTTGCGCTACGTGGTCTAGAATTGCTAAAAATTGAGTTCAAAAATTTAAAGTCATCAATTTTTAACAGTTTTTTCGCTATAACTTGGCCAAAAAAAAGAGGTATCGATCTTAAAGGGACCCTCCCACCTTAACATTAGATTTGAGTTGAGATAGCCAAATTGGTGGCCATGGCCTGAAAATACCGGTTTGGGCACTCACAACATCGAAAAATGCTTTAATTCGGAAATATGGAATTTCAAACTTGCAGTTTTCGGATTCTAAGGGGCTAATGCATTGGTATGCCCCCTTAGAATTTGTGACGTCAGCGGAGATCTGACGATGTTTAAATCTTTTACTAAAACGTTTGGTAGCACGCGGTGGTATATGCTGCTTTGCGCGCAACAAATGCCGCACTTTCAAATAAAGTCGCTAGGAACAGCGGAGATCCCAAAAAGTAAACAAAAGTAAAAGTCTAATATCTTGAAAACCGGTGAATATTTTTCGATAAAATTTGGTAAATATTCGTTTTCGCTCTTTCTGAACCTAGCGACATCACTTTCATGCCAATTCATTAACTTTTTTGAAGGTGGGAGGGTCCCTTTAAATTTAGTATGTATATCGAAGAGCGCAGAAACTATCAAATAGATTCCGTTTTGTTTCGAAATTCGAATAATTTGGAAATTTTTTGAGTTTTTCTAAAAAAAATCATTTTTTGTGATTTTTTAGGTTAAAATCCCAAAATGTCGAAAATCCGAGACAGCAGTTTTGTAGCGCTGTCTTTTCTCTACACAACCACATAAAGAACTTTAAAATTGCTTTTTAACCCTCGCATGTGTGCGGCGTTTGCCAGCTTCTAATGTGTGTGTGGGGGGGGGGGGGTCGGTTGGACCCCCCTTGCCGTTTGGCCCCTGATCGAGCTAGAGCTTCGCGGAAAAAACGAGCGTGTTGCCCGTGACGAGAGGAAGCCGATGATACCCAATTTTAAGGTCCTAGGTCATTGGTTGACCTTCCAGGTCAGGTCAATGACCCAAAGCCGGGAAAATCGGGACCTGTTAGAAAGTCGTAAAGTGTGGCTGCTAAGGGGTTTTTTTCGGGGTGCTGATCACGAATATCGTGTTAGTTTTGATCACAGATGATGTCTTGAAGCATTTAGACCAGGTCGGGTCAGGTCAGGTCAGGTCAACCAGTAGGCGTCGTGACGGGTATTCGTAGTACGTGTCAACCGCCTCTGACAGCTTCGTAACATGTTACGAAGTCACCAAAACTACTTCGTAAATGTTCAAATGGTTGCTAAATTCGAATTCAGCTCCAAAAACTAGCCTAGAAACATGTAAAACTCGAAAAAGTGAACCGAGGTCACCCGAGGTCACCAAAGGTCAATGACCTGACCTGACCTTCAGGTGACCTTGACACACACGGGAGTAACATCAAATCACATGTTCAAACGTTTGAAACCACGAAAAGCTTGCAAACACGCGGCTAGTGCGAGCCGACATACGCGAAATCGCGATTCCGGCCAAACATGGTCTCGGAAAAGAGGTCACAGGTCAAAGGTCATTTGGGTCAGGGTCATGAAATTTTCAGGGTAGGTGTAAAATTGATCAATGCGAGGGTACTGAAAGTTTCGTCGCGATCGGCCGCTTTTTACGCGAGGTATTCGCGAAAAACCATGGGGGGGGCCATCCGACCCCCCCCCCTACACATGCGAGGGTTAACTGTAGAATTGGTGAGCGTTTCAAGATGTCATGTTTTTTGCGCATTTTTACTCGAACGTGACCTCAGTTTGACCTCAATAACTCCTGACCCGAGGTGACCTGTGACTTGCAATTTTGTGTGAAGATGTCAAATTGATGCCCGGTAAGGCGCCCAAAATTTGGTAGCGCTGCGCGCCGCCGTTTTCTTGCTATTTAAGGAAAACCACGGGGGGCCAAAATGGCCCCCATCAGGGCGCGGGTTAACCTTCGCCCCAGTGCAGTGAAGGGGGCGGGGGGGGGGGGGGTTGCGTGTGAATAAAAAACCGCGGCGCGTAACGCCGCGCCGCTTGGAGTAACTTTTTGCATATCAATTTTAGACAATG